ATAGCAACGTTGAATATATTCGTAATCTACATGTTGAGCGGAACAGAAACATGACGAAAGCTTATAGTGCGTTAATACGAATTTTTTTCAATAGGGCCTTCTGAATATGACAGTATGGGAAAAAACGTGAGCAATTATAAAGGACGTGTTTTTTTCGTCAACGAGGCGGTTAGTATAGGAATGTTTACTATGTTTGTAATCTTCAGGTTGATCTGAACGAGAATGTTGAGAATCTTCATTCAGTATGGCACTCTGAAGACGACACTGTGTCATACGAAAGCACTAAAATAGAGGACGCGTTGATTTACTAACTTCTGAGGTATAAGCTGACCAAAATCGTAGAGTCAGCAAAACAGCGTTGAAAATGTGCAAGATCAAGTTAATAATCTCTGTTTGTTCGTTGGTATCCGGATCCTCGTCCATTAAGATTTTTTACGTGCACTAGACGTCATCATTTAAAAGTTGGATGTGGAACTGAAATGTTCTTAAGGAGTAGATTGCTAGAAATTGGTTTGGTTAGTGTCACTATGATCTGGCTGATGTTTCTGTGTGGCTTCAGATGAAGAAGCATAGATTTTATTCGGACAAAACATGCACATATGCGTGAGCATGAATGCATTTCCTCTGCATCGAGATTTTCGCATAAATTGACTGAATTGAATCAATTTGTTCGATAAACACGCATGTAGTACGTCTGCCCAGCCCTCTGATGCTACCTCTCGCAATGCTGCTACCTCTTAAGTCTTATTCATATTCATATTAAGTCATACATCTGCGGTACTTCACATCCTTCACGATTAAATGGTCACTTATTCAATAAGTCAATCTCGAAACTCCACAAAAAGCAAAAGAATAAGTTCGGCTCTGAGATATAGAAGATGTATGTTCACTCGCCTCACTCTTCACTCATGATTTTGAGTAAACCTCTGTTTGTATATGACAAACGATTATCCTGAATGTTTGGTGTTTGTTTATCTCGAATTTGATAACTCTTTGTTGAATTGTTCGATACTTATAGCATTGTTTGGTTATCACGAACTTCAATCGGAAGTCTTGATCATAGATCATAGTATATTAAACTGAATCTTTTGGTCACTTATGAACACTGCTGAGGATTGAAACTCTCAGAATTTGCATCCGCCCGAATTTCAATTTTTATATGTTCAAAAAAAAAATTGAGATCTTGACGAGTATTTATGATGGAAGCAGTTTTTTACGATGTTTTTTGGTGATTCATCTGATTTTGACCGATCTCCTCTCAGGGGTTGATAAGGAATTGGGATTGAATCGCAGTTGGCAGAATGGTTAACGGATGAATGAATGGAGTAAGGTTTCCTGTAACATTTCAAAAAGGCACCAATGGCAACAATCATCGGAGTGTTTCTGTTATGGTTCATGGCTGACCGAGTCAATGCCGATAACGTTCTTCACCGTCAAGATTTTATAAACTGTTCTAGTCGAACTCGGCTGAAACCATGGATATTGCTAGAATCCATAATGAAAAATTATTCCAGGTAATTGTTAGTCTCTTATCGACACCAACTTAGTATCGAATCTTCTCAATGAATTAGCTCGTATTTAGTTTCTATGACGTGTTCACGTAAAAATTTTCGGTAATGATTGAAGGATTTCTTCTGAGCCGTGCACTGTCCGACAGTGAATGTGCACAAATCTCTATGGAGTAAAAAAACAATATGATCACAAACTGTCATTTATATTCAGTACGACTGCATTTTCTTCTGCTGCACTCGCTCTTTAGTTTCCCGACCGAATCCAGCTGATTACCTTTCAGGAGTCAATCGCCTGAGCCTCGCCCAGTACCAGTCTCTGTTGAGGTCACCATTCAAGATATCAACGAGCTGTCCGTCCTCAGCAGTAGCTTTACAACGGATATTTGGTTCAGTGCATTATGGCACGATCCGAGACTTGCATTTGCACATCTTGACTCGTGTAGAACAAATCTCTCTTTTGATGATACCTTTGAGAAGGTTCCACTATCATCTGTTTCCAACCAATCGTTTCTTCGTCTAACTTTTTTCTTCTTCTTCTCAAAAAACAGCGGAAATATCCAAACTTATGAAGCATATCCACAGAAGCATGAATATTTAGTCTTCTGCAAAATCTCTTAGCGATACAAGCATTTTGATCTAATGCGAGCAAGGAATCAAGATATTCTTGATGAAATCGGCCGAAATTTTTCAAAGTTCATTGAATTTTTCAGTTCTGAATTCCGTAAAGAAACGACTTCTCAGATTCATGTATGTTTTCAGCTACTATGGTCGCCAAATGTGTGTCTAGTGAACACAAAGTCTACCAAAGTTCACATGTCCCCGAAAGCTAACGTTCTTCTTATGCTTCTACCAAACGGCACCGTATGGCTTAACTATCGGGTTAGTGACCCAAATTCATCGCAATACAAAACTTGTGATCGAAGTCTCGTTTTTATCGAACATCGATAGCGCACAAAATGAAAATAGTGCAGCCTGTTAAAGGTCAATATCAAAACCGTGTGTGACGTAGAAATATGTTTTGCAGTTTGTTTTTGATACAAAGTTTGTGTTTTTTGTTCAGGTTCGTGTACAAGCACCATGTGGTATGGACTTGACAGATTTTCCAATGGATGTTCAGAAATGTTATTTGGTAATTTTTTGCAACAGTTTCAGTTTTAGCAAGTATTCCATTATATAAGTGAAGGTGAATGCTCACATCAACGGGATAGATCCTATGGAAAAACTTAGCAACAAGCTTAGAATGAGTGAAACATCACTCAGGAATGACGATTAGTCTAACGTATCGTAAATTCGCTCAGCAGTATGAGATACCTTCAAAAATTTAGCTATATCTGCGGAATTGAGCTTCATACGTATTCATCATAAGCGTGTGCACTTCGCGATAGCAGACAATTTATTCTATCTGATAACGCGAAGATTTTGTTTTAACAATTTGCTCTATCCGATAATCTCATTGTGGTGCTGATTGCGGGCAAATCCAAGCGAAGCGGTCGCCATTTTGAGGAAAAACATCCAAAGAATGCATACAATCGTACTGGCCATTCCCAGTGAATTTGCTCCACTCTGTCGTTCAGATATGATTTAGAGAACGTGAAAAAAAAANAAAAAAAAATTTATTGACCTGAGCGCAACAATAACATTGAACTGATGTTCATGCAAGAGAGTACATTCAGGTTTTCGAGAGTTACTCGTACAATACGGCAACTGTGAGCATTGACTGGATGAGTGAAGCGGTCACATTTGCCGCCGAACATTTTCATCTGCCAGATTTTCGACTTTCTAACACCCGAATCTACAGACACACTGAGGTTTTTTGGTCATTTCATCGGTAATGCGTTTGAAAATGCAACAGCTCATTCACAGTTGCTATAATTGCATATCCAAGAAATTTTGCCCGGTAACGACGAAACAATCCAATCTTTTTGTGATCTAATCCAGTACTTTCTCAACCTTTCGTTTGCCTTCGCCACCTTTTCCTACCGATGAATTTTAAGTTCTATTAAAATCCTATTTGTACGATTCCACTATCATCGGTTCTCTAGGTTGTGTTGATAAGCATTCTGCAAATTTCATTGTGCTGAAGTTTTTGTGAGAAACGCTGATCTCACCAATGTATTCATCTACCAATTTGAGAAAGATGGTTGTGTCATATTGACACTGAGATTATTATTAATTAATAATTCAGTTTTTGTTACATGATCTCAGCTGTCAGAGATCGGTAAATTCTCAGAAACGTTGTACCGTTGTCTATTTCAGTACTATAAAGCGGGCGAATGGTACCGACTTACTGTGGAATTGGAATTTCATCGACTCTACGGGTTTTATGTGTTGCAGGTGAAGCGATGATGCTATCTTATCTTTTTCTTGCAAGATAAAATAACTCATTCGATATTATTCCCCTCAAAGCCAAAAAAATCTGACATGAGTCTCTTGTGATACAACTTACATTGCCATTAGAAGACGATAGAGTTGGCCGCCTATTTCAGATGTATTTACCAACATATATCAGTGTTTTCATCTCATGGATTTCGTTTTGTATCGATACAAAAGGTCTTCCAGCCAGAATTATTCTCGGTGTTAACGCTCTCATGGCACTGACATTTCAGGTTGCCAGTTTGATCTAATGACAAGTCAGATTTATAGGTTGAAAGTCGAACTAAAGAGATCTCAGTTTCAAATTAACGAAATTCATTTGTTTGTGATCTTTTTCGAGATTCCTTTCTGTCAGCATTTCTAAGTTTCAGTCAATAATTTTTGAACTTGCTAGCAATAAGCCATTTTAAGAACTCATTAATGAAATCCAATAATAGTGATGCTCAAATATTTCAGTTCGGTAATATTATTCGTTCTTTGCCACCTGTATCGTATGTCAAGGTTCGAACCAATTTATCTTACTCTCCACGCAGCATTCAACTTTTCCATTCTATTTTTTGGGGGGAATTTTCATCTCATCAGCAGTCAACCACCAAACATTTACAAAAATGTTGCCTATTTTCTCTCATTAGAATCAAAACCTTGCCATTTTGCGCAAGCGAAAGTATTGAAGACTTAAAAAGTTTGATTCTGTCCGTAAATTCAAATTCGATTAAGGCTATCGATATCTGGATGATCACCTGTGTCGCATTCATTTTTGCTTCACTTCTCGAACTGGCTTTTATCGCCTATCGAGTGAGTACTTCCAATCTTTCGATGATAATGCATACTTCAAATGATTGCCACTTGTTCTAATTATTTCTGTACAATCTTCACCACTACCTACGATACCTGAAATATTTCCCGAAAAACCTTCACTATAAGCATACCCCCATTTAAAAATATTCACATCATGCAGTGATCATCAGCATTATTTCATGACACGCAATATTTTACTGCTTTTTTTCGACTGTAATACATATAAGAGGACACATGCAGTCATGGAATTGTTTCTTGTACTCCATTTATGATTTGCTGAAGTTTGAAGTTCAAATGATGGCATTCAGGATAAAAGGATTATGCTGAAGACGTCGCGTGTGAAATTGACCGTAGCTACACTAATTGATCTCCTCAAAGGCTATGTGGATCCATTGTGTGAGGAAGACAGTGACGACGAAACTGTTTGTATTTTGAACATATCTTTTGAAAGAGTTTCACGATCAGCTTTGTTGTCATTCGGATCGAATCAGATCTTTTCATCTGAATAATGAAAGGACAAATTGAAGTCCATTTTGAGATTTAAAATTCCGAAAAATAAGCGGAGAGATATGTACGTGTATCTACAACGATCAAAAAGCTAACTTCGTTGTTTGCCGAGGTGAAAAAAGATTATCGACAAGCGAATTCAGAACGAAGATCAGAAATTCATTTTTAATTTCTGACTGACGGCGATAATTACCTTTGGAAACACGCATTCATCGCTCAAATGATTCTTTTTCGTGAAGTAAACTTGATGACATGAAATAAGCCTCTGCTCACTGTTCTGTTAATGAATGCAATAAAGATAGTTTGAAAAACTATTCCACGATCGACAAAACTATTTGAAAAATATCATTGGCAGACTGCTGAAGTGGTGACTGTAGAGGATGCTCGCGAACGGTCCAGATATCGCTATAAGCAAACGATTGAAGAGCACGAAAAGGCGAAGCTGTTCGATTTTGGAAGTCGTGTCGATAGAATCTCTTTTGTCGTTTTTCCATTAGTGAGTTTTCTCGTGTTTATATGATTCCATCTGTTCCATTTTCATGAAACTTCACTGATTATCTTATGAAAGTTCTCAAATCAGCTAATTTTGTGAGCGAATCACTCTAAAGTTGAATGATGGCTGATGACTGCAAAGAAATCAATGCAAGAATTTAATCTAATGCAAGTTCACGGTTAATTTCAGTGCTTCTTCATATTCAATCTTGCATATTGGACCTATTATTTGTGCAAATGATCTGTTCGATTAGAGCTGAAAGGACGTCGGAACGGTATTGCTGCCAAAGAAACGTGATCATAAGTGTATACATGACGAAGCAAACGATCGCATGAGCTGAGCTCGTGCATTTTTATCATCGCATTCTGATGCACTTTAAATTCAATGTCATACATAAATGTATCAAGCAACAACTCAGTGAATGCCATTAGACGGATTTATGCCGTTTAAAAGACTCATATTCTATCCATTTTGTGAAAAGGAATGTACATTTTCTTCACAATAAACATTTCCTTCACATGATTTTCTTCACAATAGACATATACTCCCTACAGAGCTATTGTGATTACAAATTGAATGTATTTTCAGCTTGTGGACCCAAAAAAATACACGCTGAAAATACATTCAAGCCTCTGAAAATACGTTCAAAATATGTTCAAAACCTATGAACTATGAAATAATTGGGAATATAACTGCATACGAAGCCATTCATTAAGAATACATTATGAAAATAGTACGCATGCAAGAAATCGGTTGCTATAACAGTGTGAGGGATCAGTGACCATTGAATTCGCTATGGCTGCTCATTTGAGGGATATTTATTCAGAGGATTTATTGTTGAAAATGCCAGTAAAAGGGTTTTGAATAACAAAAACACAATAACAAGTTTTTTTGGTCGAAGAAAAGATTAGAGACTCAAAAAAAGAGACCCGAACTTGTTTTGTTTACTTTATAAGCCAGTGTGTAAATAAACAATCTACGGGCATCACTCATATGGGTGAGTATGGTGAAGATCCAGCAGCTATTCATTATTCAGAGTTGTTGTTTTAGAAGTATGAATTTTACTGTATAGTTAATTTGTATGGGATTATATGTATATGAATCCATTTAAAAATATGATAGTTTGTGAATATATTTTGTAAATTGAGCGGATACTTCGTTCAGTCTCAGTTACTGAGAGCACTTCGTCAGAAAATGCGTTCAGTTTTCCATTGACCATTTTCTAAGGGTTCGTATGACAAGAAATGTTTTCTGAAGAACTTCTAAGGCAATATATCTAGCAATGAGTACATAAATGAAGAAACATTTTGCGAGAATGAAGCGAGTTTTTCATGAGGCTCTGAATTTCTATCAATTTTACATGTTTTCATGATTTGCTGTATTATATTACGAGTATTCATTCCAATCGCCAATCAGTTCGCTCATTGATTTTTTGTATTACTATTAGCAGTATTATTATTAGTCCCATCATTATAATCATCAATGAATTGTCTGGCACAATGGTTTTGAAAGATAAATAAGTTTTGATCCAGTGTCATTTTAGTTTTATCTGATATAAAGAATCACCTGATCCCTTTACTTGTATTTGATCTAATCTCTTCATGATCCGCAATTACCATTCAATGGATGTTCTATAATAAATTTTTGAATTGTAACTGATTACAGTTTAATATCTCTTGAGCGATTTCTGGATGCAACTCTTAATGTAAATACAGGCAACTGGTCAAAATGATTAAGTTATTGTAAGTTTCATGCATCTTGTATGATTACTTCGAAATTTTTTTCATTCACCATCAATTTTATTTGTTTTCCATGTTAAGCACACTTCAGGAAGCGGTGAATTACCGCGAGAATCTTAAAATCCTATGCGGAATACATTTCTATAAAAAAGTGATGCTACTCATTGATCTGTTATAATTTCTTATTTTATTTTCAGCTCATTTACGATTGTCACTGCTGTAGTCAGCGTGATCAATGCACAGGTGCCGTACTATTCCAGTGATAGCGTTCAAATCAGTGGTATATCTTGCAGAATCACGGTTTGTCGTTAAAATACACGCTTTCACGACATGTCCTAATAGCTTTTCAGTGCTTCACTAGCACTTTGATACTCTATAATACTTCATCACAATATTAATTACCAAATGATACTATGAGGGAGCAAAATTATTTATATTCTGGTTTCTTCCAAATTGTGATCTTAAAATATGCGATTGATCACTATGAATAATCAGCGCTTTCCTGAAGCTTCTTCATCCCAATTTGAACCTTCGTCAAAGTTGTAGATGTCGTCAAAGTTGTAGATGTCAAATTTTTGAACGAATTCTCAAATTCAGATTCTCACTTAGTATCGCAG